GCGCGCGCGGCGTCGCGCAGGACTGGTGCCCATATGGAAGTGTACGTGAGCTCTAAGAACGTGCGTACAGGGTAGGCTAGGAGTAGTAGCAACATAAGTATAGATACGCGTGGTGTGTGGTGCCGGACGAAAGACGGCAATAACGCTGTGTCACGGATGAATGGCACGGCGCAGCGGAATAAAGGCGTGGAGAATGGGCCGAGGGGTCAGGGCAAAACGTGTCTTATTGCAGACTGGGCGCGATGAACAACACCGGATCTGAGAAGCGGGTAAGTGGAAGGTAGAAGCGGTAGCGCGCGGAGTATAATCTATGAGGCGGAGGAAAACATTGGACAGCGAGGGAGGCGGTGCAGGCGGTACACGTATGCAGTGTTAGAGTCAAGCCAAATAAGCAGATCAAGAGGGAGTCGGGATCACACAGACGAGTTAGAGCTGCCTGCCGGCGATTTGTCTCATCAATTGTTGGCGCTTATTTCGGTCTCTGGAAAATTGCCTTTTTGAAGTTTGATGTTGTTATTTGCGTGTAGAAATTCGCTAAACAGAGTGGCACGTAATATGTGCATTATGCCACGCAATGATCTGTGAGAGATCTGTGGTCCATTTAGGTGAATAAAGTTGTAGTCGTATGTACCGAACTAACTCTCCTTACTGTATGGTTTGAAATAATTCTGTTCATGTGGCTTATTCAGGCGTGCTGTCACTATGAACGGCCGTTACTGTTGTACTAACACCTTGATAGCGGCCCGTTAAACAGAGAATAGCAGTAATAACAAGCAAAGATAACATAATGGAATTGGATGGATGGATGGGATGGATTGGAATAGGATGTAATGGATGGATGGATTGGATGGATTGATGGATGGATGGATGGATGATTTGGCATGGATAGAATGGATATAGATGGATGGATGGAGGAATGATGGATGGATGGATGGTGATGGATGGAAGGTGGATGGATGGATGGATGGATGGATGGTGGATAGGATGGATGGATGGATGGATGGATGGATGGATGATGGATGGATCGGATGGGATGATGGATGGAGTGGATGGATGGAATGGATAGGAAAGGAATGGATGTGATGGATAGGATGGATGGATGGATGGATGGATGGAATGGTATGGATGGATGGATGGATGGTGATTGGAATGATGATGATGATGATGGATTGGATGGATTGGATTGGATGGATGAAATGGATGGATTGGATGTGGATGAGATGGTGGATGGAGATATGGAGTGGATGATGGATGATGATGGATGGATGATGGATGTGATGGATGGCTGATGGGATGGATGATGGATGATGGATGGATGGATGAGATGGATGGAATGGATGGATGGATGGATGGATGGATGAGATGGATGGAATGGATGATGGGATGGATGGGAATGGATGGATTGGATGGAATGGATGGATGAGTATGGTATAGATGGAGGATGGAATGGATGATGATGGATGATGATGAGTTGGA